GTAGTTAACTGGTTATGACTGAATTTCTGTAAATACTGGATAGCTCGAAACTGAACATGCAAACTGAGAATGCAACAATTAATCTGATAATGATGCATTAATAACTGAGGCATGTATAACTGAATACTGAAATATCTGACCTAGCATGTGTAATTCAAGAACTAAAGAAATACATAGCTAGGGTTCTAAAATTCATGCGATAAACTGAGCAATAACATGATAATCTGATTTGGAACATTTAAATAACTAATTCATGATGATCTGCTGTAATTCTAGAAACCCTAGGTCTGTTCATAATCATGGAATCAAGAATCTGACTAAATTCTAGGGACCTAATGGGCGAAAGGAACCCACTAGTGAAATCCCACATACCTGGTGACGAATTCCACGGAGAAATCTTTCGATTTCGGGGCTGGAACTGGAGGAAACTTGCTGCGTTCTTGACCTTTTTCTCCTCTCTTGATTTTTATTTTCTAAGTTTTGATTAATGAATTTGACTTAGGTAAGTTCTAGTTATGTTTCTAGGCTTAAACTGATTAAAATCTCTTGATTTAGGGTCTAAACGACGTATCTTAGGGGTTAAACGAAATAGGAAAAGACCAAAGGACCCCTGACTTAGCTGCTGTCGGAGTGACTGACGGACTGGACTGACGGGCCGTCATTTAATCGACGGTCCGTCGGTTGGATCCGTAGGTCGAGTCTGCCCGATAGGGCTTCACTAAAACGAGCATAACTTTTTACTCGGAGATCGGAATTTAGCAAACTTGGTGGCGTTGGAAATATAATTCAATTATCTATCATATCATAGGTCATGGGACACATAATTCATTTTGTGCTAAAAGTTATGACCATCTGAAGTTGATCCATCAACAATTTTCAGCTAACTGGTTGTTAGTCCTAACCTACGGTCAGACCTACGGACCGTGGATCGATTGACGGTCCGTTCTGGTTGACCGTAGTTTGTGTCAGAGGCTGGTAAGGGAAGTCTCGATCCACGGACACAGACCACAGACCGTGGTCTGATTTACGGACCGTGGTCTGATTTACGGACCGTGGGTCTGTCCATGAGTCGGGACTTAGCCAATTTTCTGAGCTGGGTTCTGGGGAAGTTTTCTGTCACAAACCACGAACCTGCAGGACGGACCGTGAGTCCATCTACGGTCCGTGGATGGTGTCCGTGAGTGCCACCTGTAACACCAGAAATCTGAAATCTCTATTTTTGGATACGGGGTGTTACATTATGTGTCATTGATAGAATTTCGAAAGTCAAGCAAATTTTGTATAGTCTTTTAGATTTTGAAGTTATTTAATTATTACGAGTTATAGTACATTTTACGTATATGTTACTTTTTCTATCCCAAACTATGTGACATTAGTAGAATTTTGAGAGTTGATCAAATTTTTTGTATGTCCTTTAAATTTTGAAGTTGCTAATTATTGTGTGATTTGTAATACGTTTCATGTTATTTCAAATAATATATGTTATTTCCTCTATCCTAATTTATATGGCACTAATAGATTTTGAGCTTCAACCAAATTTTATTGATGCCTTTATAATATTTTAGGGTTTAATTACCTCTTTTTGATTTTTAATCCATTAATATGTTTTCTTCACAATTATCAGTAGAGCTACCTTTCAGTGTTGATGGTTTAGCAACATACCCTTAAAGACCAACGAAAGCTTCCTCTTATTGCTGCGTATTATTAAGTAAAAAGTATTCTAATTAATTCTACTAAAGATTCACTAATTGAATGATGAGAGAAATTAATTAATGTGAGAAAAGTACTGAAAGAAAGACTTAATCCTACTCCATCCGTCCAATAATTATTGTCTATTATAGTATTTTGGAATGTCCTACAATACTTGTCCACTTTATGAAATTAATGGATAGTTTACCACTTATCATTAATTATAGTCATTTTTCAATTATATTTTTTAATACATTATATTTATTATATTTAAAAATGATATAGTAATATTACTCTTTTATTTATAATTTCTTAAAAAATGTATAAAGTCAATACTGGAGAAATATTATTGGAGAGAGAATAGTTGATATCAGTCACCAAAGCAATACAACTAAGTAGTAATAAGTGGGGCCCATGTTTTCAAAAAGTTGTGCGAATTATTTGTAGTTTTAAGGGGACAAATTAGTCCAATAGATACAAAAAATGAAATGCAGCTGCACTACTCCCTTAACTAACAAATTGAATTACATTTTTCATGTGAAATTACAAAAGTAACATCTGAGGATTTTTTTGTCAATTCCCATAAACGGGGAGCTCCTCACATTCACTTTTATTAATAGTAGTAATATAATAATTTTCAAAGTTAAATTAGATTGTATTAATTTGATATTTTAAACAAAAAATTTAAATATGCAAAATCTATACAAAAAGTACTATAAATTGTAATTTTGCATATGAATATGATGAAAAAACACATTGTAAAACATTAGTTAAAATTCTTATAGTTTGACTCTAAAAAGGAAATCATAACAATTAAAAGTGTATAGAGAGAGTAATAAATAGGTAATTAACTTTCAAGAAGTTTAAAATAAAAGGTTGAAAAAAAGAATAAGATAGACAACATATATTGAAAATTGAAAACATATAAATAATAAATGGGCTTAAATGAGGTCTAACTTTTCGGCTAATAAAGTAGTAGGTAATTAATGGTGTTAAATTGTTCAATAATATAAATTTTAAAGGTACAACCATAAAAGAAGAATGTACAACACTATCTAAGCACATATCATCCAACACTTGTCATGTGCTAAGTAGTAGATATTCCCACTTATTATATATAGTAATATATTTTAATCAATCATCTTGAAGTTTGAAAAAATACTCCATCATATAGGTATGTCGAATAAATCGGAAGTCTAGTAATTAGGTTGAAATAATATCCTCCTTGGAAGTATCTATAAAGTCAATTAACTCTAATCCTAACTTTATAAAATGGTAATTTATTATTCTCTCCTATGACCTATATATATCTAATCACATTTATTCTTTTAAAAAAGTAAAAAAATTCTCTTTTTTTTTTCTTTTATTATCTTTTTTTTTTTAATTCCAAATACATCATAAGTTTCCAATCTACTGAGCTTTTTGCGCCGCACATAAAATAAAATAAAATTAAAAAAACAAGTCAAGATAACAACAATAACAATTAGAAAACACTAGCAACATGACAATATTCAATAATTTGAATCATGATAAGATATATAATTTATTTCACAGACAAATCTACCACCAAACATTAATTTCACAAAAGAACATTTCTAATGTCTCTAACATTAATTTCGAAAACATGTTTGAAAGATAACACCTCCAAAAAAAACAAAAATAAAATAAAATATGTCCTACCCTGTACGTGATCTAAGTCAGAAAATAATAATATAAATATAATTGCGGAACCAAGATTTTAATTAAGGGAGTTTAAAAACTAAAAAAGTAAACACATGAACTAACTAAAGGGAATTCGATATATATATACATAAAAATTAATTTTAATTATACATAAATTATATTATTTTTCGTCGAAGGAGGATCGAATGAACCCCTGATCATAAATTGACTCCACCCCGATATTTATATATATATATTAGAGAAGTCACATGTTTGAAGAAAAGTGATAGGTAAAAGGTATCAAGATTCAAGGTTGTTAGGTACATATGTTTATTTATATCGTCCTTTTGTTTTCTTGCATTTGGATGGTCAATGGTGGCATACTTGTAGAATTACTAATTTTGTGAACTATATTATATATTGTTTAAATAGTTGAAAAATAAATATTTTTATTTATTTTATATAAAATTTATAATAACGCGGTCTCTCACACAAAAACGTATATACCTTGCTCCAAGCGGCATCATAGAATAGTAAGATACCACTTATATGAAAATACTGAGTATAAATATAAAATATGACACTTTATAGTAAAAAAAATTTTAAAAAAAAGTGATACTAATATAGAAAGTTTTTTGCGTATGTTATTGATTTACGTGTAAATATTTATTTTTTACTAAAGATGTGACGTTGAAAATCATATACTTATATGTTCTAATGTCATAAATTGAATGAATTGCCAGAAATTTTAAAAAATTATAATAAGATTTTTCCTTAGTTATTTATTTTCAACAAAATGTAACAACATTGATTAGCCGTATGCAATAGCGACCATTTGTGACTTTAAGTTAATGATAAGAAAAAAATTATGAGAAATTTCTTAGTTAATGACTTTTTTTCTTCTTCTGAATTTCTTAATTATAGTAATAAATAACCTGTTTTTTCCTGATCAAAACAACAAAGTACTCGTTTGGTCATAAAAAATTTGGAATAATAATTATGTTATTTAAAATTTGGTGTTTGATGATAAATTTTTTAAATTCAAATTTATATTTAAAATTGGAAAATATCTTATAATTTATTTTTAATTCACTTTTAAAGTTGTATTTAAGTACATCCTAGTAATTCAAATATTCTTTGCAAAAAGTATAACCAACCATAACTTCATTTTCAATTCTATAAATTCCAAATAAAGTGAAAAGTATTTAAAATTTATGACCGAATGCCTACTAATTATTTAGCTAGCGTTGACTATAAATTTTCAAAAATTTATCTTCAAATATATGTTTGACCATAAAATTTAGTTCAAATATCTATTTGACCAGGAAATTTAATCAGATTTTAAAAATCCGATCTTCAAATATTTTCAAATTCTTAAAAACTAGCTTCAACTTTTGACCAGGACTTTCACTCACGTAACTTCAATTTTTTTTTTCCAAAAATATACATACGTATTTAATTACAATTTCAAAAACTCAAAATGTCAAACTTCAAAATCTATTATCAAATGAGAGCTTAATTTAAAAAAATAATGAAACCTTCAAAGAAAAAAAAGAAGGAAAATTTGTTAAGGAAATGACATAGTGCCAAGTTGCCAAATAGTCCAGCACTGATCCTATTGTGCTAACCAGCTAAGACATTTTTTGTTGCCTTTTTCTCTCTTTACTCTTTCACCTATACATACATATTTCTGTATGTCTCTATCATGTTTTCACTCGTTTATAGATGTGGGATGGTGGGGTTAAGAGGGGTTTGGTTTATTCCATAGATTGGAGGACCTTGAAAATGCAAGATTTCAGCAAATCTTGGACCCCACCATTGCCTATTCTATAGTTTTGCCTAATTTTTCCAATAAACCAAACATGGCTTATGCACCCCACCCCTTCTTTGAACCCCATTTAGTTGAATTTAGCTAAAGATTTCACCTTTACTCTATTATTTTAAGTGTTTGGTTTGGTATTCTTCTTCTAGAATCAAGATTTGTCTAAAAACAGTTATTTTGTAGTTGGAGGTGAAAGTGGTGGATGAGGTTTCTTCCATGTGGTATACTTTTGTAGAAGTAATTTTTATTTCTTTCTTTGTTTCTTTAATAGCCAAAGTTTCTTCCTTTTCTTTCTCTACTTTGTTTTAAAATAGACTTTTTGAAGGACTAATTGTACATCTTATCTTTGTTTAGTGGGGTTGGCTTGAAATTGACTAACATTAAGTTATCTTTATGTGGTGTTTGCTGTTTCTGAAGGGGATTGGAAGAGCTTAAAGCTTGATCTGAGTGGTGAATTTGAAGTGGGGTTTCATTTTTTTTTGGAGGTGAGTAGGAAGTTATTGAGCTTTGATTTTACTTCTGATGTTTAGTACTTTGCTTACTATTTGTTGGACATGTTATGTTTGTATTTTTTGTGCAATTTGTCTGGCAGTTGTTGCAATTCTTTATACTGTCTTTACTGGTTCATGAAATGCAATTAGGATCTAGATATATATAACACTGTTTATTCTTCTTTGTTCTTTCTGTTTCACTGTTTGTGTCTCTCCCAGCTATTGGGAAGTGCACCACAAGTAGATTTCTGTTTTTGTAAGGAGATTTGTTGCCAAAGATTTGATTTTTTTCTGTTTTTCAGCTGTTACATAGTCTGAGACTTGTTTTGTAGACGGGGAATCTTAGTAGCTAAGTTGGTTGGCTACCTGAGAGTTCGATTCTCCACCTTGTAATCTCGTTCACCTACAAAAGACTTGTTGCGTAGACCCTCTTGTAGTTCATTGTTTGATCAAGTTTTAATCTTTGGAGTAATTTAATTGGTAAAGATTCTTTCTTCTGATTCATGACTAAAAATTCTTGTGCATTAACTGGTAGTTCCATTTCATTTCAGCCTATTTCCCGAAATTAGAATTGGGACGATACAAGTGCTGGTGGATTTTGGTCTCTTTGTATAAATCGTATTTATATCGCAGAAGGTGAAGGAAGAAAGTTCATTTACCTGCTTTCTAATGTATAATCACCTTGGAGGTGCAATATGGAACGCAGAAACACGGACAAGGATGGACCTAATAAAGAAGGTTTATTGCAGTTTGTGAACAAGGAAGAACAAGCAGAGGAGAATAGTTGTTTGTCGACAAGATTAATAGAAGAGTTAGAACCACAGCACCTACTTAGATTAGGAAACCCGCGCTTTACAGGAAATTGCACTCAGAAATTGTTCTTTCATAGTTCTCTTGGCTTACAAAATAAGCTTCCAAAGCATATAATAAGTTTTGACGAAAGATACTTCCTTCGCTGCCTTGAATTGGTACACATACATTCCACATGTAACTTCTCTTCAAAGATGCAAATTTTATCAAAGAGTTCAGGTTCAAGAGAGGTTAGAAATGAAAATCTCTGCACTAATGGTAATCTGGCGATCGAATGCCCTCAAACTGTGGGGATTGAGTCAAGTTATGTCCCTGACTCCTCCGCGGAGTGGATTCTTGGTGCAATAACTGGTAGTAAGAGTATGCTGAACATTTTAAAGAGTCCTTTACTTAATCAATTTGGATCTGTTAACTGTACTGTTGATTCTGGAAAGGAAAATATACATGACAGTGAAGAAGCAAGTTTTTCCGATTTCATGAGCTCTCCCGGTGGTTTTAGTGTCAGTTCAGCTCAGAAGCTACAGAAGGAGATGGCAGATCATGCATATGGATCTGAGCATGTACACAGAAGGGTTCTTTCTGTATCTAGTACAGCTTCGACATGCTCGGATCAATCTTGTCTTTCAGCGGCTGCTCCTATTTCTCAAGGAATGCTCCAGAGGAGATGGAAAAATGGTTTACCACATTATGTCTTTTCCATAGATGGTAAAAAGGAAGTTTATGTAGCTGATCTGCTGAAGATTGACTCACCTGATGATAAGTTTCTCGATTATGTTTACACATTTCATTCAAGACCAGAAGGCAAAAAGGAACGCGCCTTCTCTGCAAGGGAATCACAACTTGTAGGTAAAATGACTGTGTCCACTTCAGTGACACTCAGCTCAACCAAGTTGGAGATTATGGAGACGCGATTTGTTGTGTTTGGTTCCATGGATCAATATATGGATGAGATACAAACAAGTCATATCCTCAGGAAGAACAAAAAATTGGCAAAGAAAGTAACAGATGTGTTCAGAACTAGTCAGTCTTATAAGCAGAGAAGCTTATCCAAGTTCGGGGGAACAAGCGCCATTCTTGAAGATGCTTCTTGGACGCCATCCATAGATATGTATGATGATTATTATTCATGCGGCAATGCTCTTTTAGATCAACAGATTCCGCCAAATTTTGAGTTGGCTGCCATTGTTACCAAAGATCCTCTTAATGACAGCTCCAAGGAGGCAGAGAAGGGTGGCTGGGGTATGAAGTTTCTCAAGAAATCTCCGACTGGAAGTAAAAATGCACCTCCTGAGATATCGGTGGAATGTCGTTCACGTGGCACCAGTGAATGCTCAACAAGCACGGATGTTATAATTCCAAGTGGTTTTCACGGTGGACCTAGAAGCAGACATGCTGGGCCGTCAAGCCTGTTGGAGCGGTGGAGCTCTGGTGGGCACTGTGATTGTGGAGGCTGGGATCTCGGGTGCCCCTTCACAGTTCTTAAAACTGGAAATGAAGCTTCATCACAAACTACATCTGGAGACTGTCAAACTTTTGATCTCTATATACAGGTCTATCTCATTATAAGTTTTTGTTCTCTATGTTCTTCAAGCAAACTATGCATTTAAATAAGTGGAGCATTGAAATGTCACTAACCGATTTTCTATTACCCAATTTTGCAGGGTTCAAAACAAAGTGCACCAGTCATGAAAATGTCAAATATTCATGATGGTTTGTATTACATCCATTTTCATTCGACTCTGTCAGCTTTGCAGTCTTTTGCCATAGCTGCTGCTTTCATTCATAGACATAGTCCTTTCCTACGACCGAAACTGTACAGGAAGTGAAGTAAGATGACACAAAGTATGGTATCTGTTGTTATAGTTCTCTACTTTTAAAAGAAGTCAGACAAATCGACCATTAGAAATGGTTCGAAGATATAACATCTGATTGTCTCTCATGTTCATTAATTTATCTTAGCTGACAGATTATTAGATAGGAGGAAATTCGTTTGTTAGCTCAGATTATTATTTTGTTAGTGTAATGAATGATACAGTTTAGAAGCAGCGGTCAGTGTACAAATCGTCTATTGGATGGGGGGACATCCATTTGTACTGTTGATTAAGTTACTGAAAGTCGAAACACATTGATTTTTGAGTGGTTTGTTGATCCTTTGATCTTTAGTGCAACTTTCAGGTATCAATGGAAACTTCAGTTATGTTTCAATATCGTCTACCGTTGATTGTAAGAGGCCTCTCTCTCTCATTGATTTTAGCATGTGTGATGTTATGTTCACAGTGTAGATGAATCACTGCATTTCCATGCTTTCTTTACACATGTTCTTGGAACTCATCTAAGATAACATACTTTGTGTCAATGGTAAACTCAATCCTGCAAACTTCTTTGTGCTAATAACGACAACAACAACAACGTACTCAATGTAATCCCAGGAGACGGTTGGATAAACTCTTTGTTTCCTTATGTTTATGTTGCAATTGTTTCCGTGCTTTCGTGTATTGTAGCATTGATATGGATGTTGCAAGCTTTGTTGATGAGTGACCATGTTAGGGAAGTAGTATAGGCATTTGGACATGTTTTGTTTGAATTCATTGCTTTCGGCTTGAACTATGTATACAGAATTTTAAAAATATACATATAATAAGGTTACGTTTTTCGATAAAAATGGCGTATAAAGAGAGTTGGTTGGTGATGATCTCTGAAAAATGCTATTTATTCTTACTTCATTATACAGTAAAATTATGAGGGGATTATAGTTGATCTTTTCTAGCATTGGTGTCAAATCACACGACTACACGTTCAAGGGTATGACTTAGTGATCAATAAATTAAACTAACGTGTAGTCGTGACTACACGTTCAATTTTTACAAATAGATAAAGTAGAAATAAGATAATTAATGTAAGATAATTTCAAAATTTTCCCCCTATTATGAGTATATATTATGCAGTATTACCTTTAAGAAAAGCTGGTAAGACAGTGTTTGTTTTGAGTAAAAAGAGACAAATTGAGAGGAAATGGTAAAGCCAGTGTTCTGTAAACCTCTGTTTGTATTAGACTGATTTCCCAAACAGGAAATAAGAGATTTGGGGAATCTTCTGTTGTGATATGAGCCGTTGGATCAGTAAAGATGAATGGTCAAGATTAATCTATAAAATCAACGGTCGTGATGAAATAATCAGACGGTCTACATTGGTCAAATTCATTCTGTCAACATATCCTACTAGGTCAAAGTTTAGTCCCGATCAATAAAGATTGTGATGAAATGATAAGTATTTTTTCGTTTCGATTGTTATCGAAGAATTCGAAATACATCTCAACAATTTTTCAATCACGTACATAATAACTACGCTAGACATAATGATCGTTACAAAATTAATGAAATGTCAATTTCTTTTCCATGTTTTTTATAAGTGAAATGCAACGGCCATATCAATATATTGAAATAGAATAAGGTAATATGGACAATAGGTTAGATGAAATTGATTTTGAATACATCGATATATAAAATTGATATTGGATATATAAATACATAAAATTATGAAATTAAGATACATTGTGAAATAAAAGTACAGAGAAGGATAGGGACGTGGGAGAGAGGAGAGAGTCTGCGTATTTCAAATAAATGTAAATCAAACTTTGGATACAATACATATGAAATAAATTATATATCCAAAGCAAAAAGAAAAAAAGAAACAAATTATATCTAATTTGACTTGTGTGTCTAAAAAATATATAATTTAGGAAATTATTATTTCAACCTATAATCAACATCAGTAAAATTGTTTCATGTTATTTCCTCCAAAATAAAAACAAACCATTTAAAAGCTCTTTTTTTTTTTCAATTTGTGGAATTCCAAAGAGTCGATGGTGGAGTGAAAAGGCAAAAGGTTGTAATACAATTGACAGTAAAAAGTAACTATTTTCTTTTATAGATATTTGTAAAATAATTTATCGCATTTAAGTCGAGTGAAACTTTTTTTATTTCATTAAAATATATTCAAAGTTTATAGCCCCAAAGTACAAAATTTAGATTTCATTAATTTGTGAAAAATAAAATAGAATGTCATACAATTTATTTTACGGAAAAAGATTAAAATTACTTTTGAACTATGCAAAATAGACCAATTTATATCTTTCATTATATTTTGGGATAAAAAAATACCCTCACAATTATTCCAAGAGATCACAAACACCCTCACAAGTCACAAGTGAGACTAATCTCTCCACCTAACGGCAAAGGCATTTTTTATCTCAAAATATAATGGAAAGTATAAATGATCTATTTCACATAGTTCAGGGGGTAATTTTAATCATTTTCCGTCAACGGAATAAGATTTCCCAAAATTTTCTTTTATGAATACATTTATTAGTTAACCATATTTACTAACTATACTTATAATTAAATTATTTGGTTTTATATATTCATAGGAAATTCTTATTGGAGCTTTTATCTCTCACCATTGTTGAAAAGAATGTTGTGATGGAGTCCAAATGCTTCTTAATGCTAAAGTAAAAGCTATTTCTCCAACTCCATAAAAGGTATAGTGATTTATCCTTTTTTTTATAATTATGCAGAGGCGAATTCAGAATTTGAAGTTTAAGGGTTTGGACCCACCATTATATCTATAAAGTTATAGGTTCATATTTATTGTATCAAATAAATTTATGCTTGGAGTCAAAAGTATTGAGTTCGGATGAACGCGATTTGTTAGAGTATGGTCCACATGAATGTTTCTTGATCCTCAAGTTTTTTAAGGTAAAAAGGTGAATACTTTATTTGATTTTTTGGGATTTGTGGAAGAATTTCGGTGAAAAACTAATGGGGTCAGTCTTGCATTGAGTGATTCTGTGTTGGGGTATATAACCCATTGATATTAGAGAGTGAAAATGGTTTCATGCAGAAGAAAAAATGAAGAAAATGATATAAAAATTTTTACCTTTGAAAATGTATTTTGTTGTTATTGTTGTGTTTTTTTGTTTGGTTTCTCACTTTCTATCAAGAATTTTTTCATACCTAGGTCTTGAATCCGAGACCTCTGGTTTAGGGAGGAGCAGTTTGGATGCACCACATACTCTGTGTTGGTGTTGTTGTGTTTGAAGGAAGAATAGAGCAGAAAAAATAAAATCTTTGTTGTCTTTATTTGGAATCTGTGCTATTCCACATTTTGTTTTCTCTTTGTTTTGTATTTTTGCTTTTTATAAAATTTGATTCTGAATTCCCCATGTTAAGGTGTTCATGGTTCTGTTTCGATTAGTAATTTTTATTTTATGTTTCATCTGTTAAATAATGGTTTTGCTTCTTTGATGCTGTGAAATCTCATTAGTTTTGTTTCTGATGTATACTAGGTTTAGGGTGTGTTCGGTATGAAGGAAAATGTTTTTTTAGGAAAATAAGTCGGTTTCTTGCACCCAAGGGTGTGTCTTGTGTGGTCAATGAAGTGGTCGAGAGCCATGAGGTCTCAGGTTCAAATTTCAGCGGAGACAAAAATAATAGGTGATTCTTTCCCATCTGTCCTAGACTTGGTGGACAGAGTTTTCTAGTACTTGTTGTTGGTGGGAGGCAAGTATCCCATGGAATTAGTTGAGGTGTGTGAAAGCTGGTTCGGACACCACGGTCATCAAAATAAACAAATATATAAATAAGTCGGTTTTATACTTATTTTCTTGTGTCTGTTACGTAAGCAAAAAAATATTTTCTTAAAAACATTTGTATATAATCTAGAAAAATACTATGGGTTGTGGGAATGGGGGTTAGGGGGTGAAGATGAGGTGTGCTTGAGGGTTGAAGGACATAATTAATGTGGAATGCCTTGCCTTGCGCGAGTTCCAGTCATGAGATGACTTTTCGCTTACTCCTGTTTAAAAGCATTATAGAGAAGATGTTTAAAAAAAATAGTAATAGCGAAGATGTCAGTGATGAAACATGACTTAGTGAACTGTGGGAGACAATTGCATTACTTCCTATATATGATGACTGATGACCTGATTATTATGCAGTCAACTCTTTTATACTGTCTCAGACTTGGCTCTATTAGGAATTTCTGAGCATGATGAAGTATCGGTTTATCAATACTTGTTGTTATTATACTTTACTTGAGCAGAAGGTCTGTCGGAAACAACCTCTCTATCTTCACAAGGTAGGGGCAAGGCTGCGTACTCATTACCCTCGCTTGACCCCACTTGTGAGGTTATTACACTGAGTTTGTTGTTGTTGTTGATGATGATGATGTATCGGTTTGATGCTTAACAATATCATCTGGTGTTTTTTTTTTAATTCATGTAGTATTTGATAAAACCAACATTCTATAGTACTTCCAATTAGCTTCTGAAAAAATGCTAGGAGTCCTCATAGATCTGTATTGAATACCGTTCAACATGGAATGTCATCTAGTAAGTTATTATGCTATGCATAAATTATTCCAGTCATCATGTTGGTAAAATTCAGACATTGTTTCTGCATTTTCTTGTTTGTGGTTGAAATGCAGATGTAATGTTTTCTCTTTTTTTTTTTTTGGCATTGAAAGGAAGAAGATATACCTCAACCTCATTGACCTCCTTAAAGTTCTACATTAGTATACTAAATGGCGCCAAACCCGAAGTCTAGAGTTACAAAGGCCTTTGAGGCAATGAAGGTTTTTGGCTATAGTGAAACAGTTGTGAAGCCAGTATTGAGGAACCTTCTAAATTTGTACAACAAAAACTGGAAGCTTATTGAAGATGAGAATTATTCTGTTCTTTTGGAGTCTATTATAGACAGCGAAGAGTCTAAGGTATTGTTATTATTATGATTCAGTGCTTATTTCTATTGTCCATAACCACATGATACCCTTTGCGACATGTGAATCCTTTCTAAAGATTATGTGTGGTAATATTTATATCTATCTTGACATCATGCACAAATAGAAAAATAGGATGCTCATTCATCTTTACTTTTTTCCTTCCAATTTTCAATGTGAAAGCATGTCATTTAATTCCCCTGATGATCAGGAAAAGCAGAAATCCTCATTGGAAGATGAACCGGAAGAAAATGAACCACCATTGAAAAGATCTAGGCTCTACTCCCAGGGAAATCATTCTTCACCTGCTAAACACAATGCCGGCCCTAGTGCTGACGCATGTACTTCAGAGTTGCAGCCTTCCGGCAAGCAGAAGATGGCTGAAATCACCACCAAGTCTTATGAAACTCAGGATGCTGAACTGAAGCCTCGTTCTCTCTTGAACGATTATCAGCGCAAAGGTAAGAAGCAGATTTCTTCAGAGGCTTCTCCTGTTTCAGAGGAGGATAATGACATTGTACTACTCTCTGATGATGACATGCGAGGACCTTGTACTCTGTCATCTCATTTGGAATTAAAGAAAAGGGGAGACACATCTCGTTCATATCCTGCTGTGATACCCAAAAGAAGATTAGCTTATAATAGTAGCCTGGAAGAGCCAAACGTCATGGGTTCTACTGATGTATCCAATGAAGGTGCACTGGTTCAGTATGGCTTCAGTGATGCTATCCCACTTTCTGATAACCTGCCAGGTTTTGATGTTCCTCTTGCTGTTTTCCCTTCAGGTATTCCTTCAATGTGTAGAGTTAACTATTAATAAGATTATTCTGTCTCTCTCACCAGACATGGTTCTACTTTGAAACTGTGAACGGGTTGTTCTTTTTTGTGAGTTTTGATACCCATTCTGTTGATATTCTCTAGATGTATTTTCTTTTTGAAGTCTCTTTTGACTGTCATGTATGCTAGTTTTGGTGATTATTCACTAATTCAGGACGTGAATATTGAAATTATTGACTAAAAGGGAGAAATATAGGAGGAGTTAACTTGCTAATATCAATAAATATATTTTTGAAGTTAATGTGTTAACTGATGAAAGCCAAAGAAAGACAGGCAAAGCCATACTGCTATATATCTATCCATTCTCCACTGGTATTTCTTCTTTATGAAGCTTCAATGATTACAATTTTCTGAGGGCAAATTCTATGAATTTGTTCTGCCTCTAGTGATCTTTATACAAATCAAAGTTGTGAAATCATATTTGTATACACGCTTTTTACAAAAAAGCTACATCTTCCTCTCTCGATTGAGCTTTATCTTTCATACAAGCTAGCTGTAAGATTCTTATGGTTTATAGTAATTACACATTCTGCTCATAGTCAGCCCAATGATATTTTTGGTTGATGAAAAGGAAAAAGCTATGTGAATGAAGAACATAAGATTTGTTGAATCAGATGGGGTCATAAGTTGTTTTCTCTTTTTGTTGGTAAATTGTATGTCTGAAGTTGGGAATCCTTTTTTTTTGTGTTCTTTTCCTCTTGGTTTTGTAGTCAAATTCTAAGTCTTACCAAAATGTGAATGTTATCTATAGTCTAGAAGTTTAATTCTGTCATATTTTTTTGGAATTGAAAGGAATTGATAAACAAAACTTGGAGTATCTCTACTCTGAACATCTGGGTACAGAAGGAACTGAAGAAGATGCAACAAATTCATCACGACTAAATATTGCTTCCTCCCCAAACGGGGAGGTGAAAGTCTCTTTTGTCTATAAGACATATTCTTCATCAGATTTTTGTCCACCAAGTTTAGATGCAGTCTTTAAGCGGATGGAGGAAAAGTATATGAAGTCCTACAGATATTCTCAACCTGGTTTTCTGCTAAGTCTGATGGAAAATCTGTGTAAATGCTATCTGATAGCTGGCACCAAGGCCAGGGCAGCAAATGAGCCATCAGCTGGGATAGAGTCTCAGAAACTTCACCCAGTAGGTGTCAGATATGATGCTACTAATCATGAATTGCACTTTGCTCCAGACACTAGGAATGGCTCATTCAAATTGTCGAATTTTATCAAAATCTTACCTCAAATTCCAACATTTCCAGCTTCAGGAAATAAGGATATAATGTGCTATATGGTGGATTTTAATGGTACAAGGATTAAAGGTGCTGAGAAGGACAACACTAACAAGCTTCTTAAACTCCTTGCCTCTTCAACTATGAACAATTCAGTGCTTGTTCACAGTGAACACTCATCTCCTGGTCTTCGTAATTCTGTTTATTATATTGAAGACATCGCCAATGGTCAAGAGGAGCATAAAATTTCGTTGATTAATGAATTCAGCCATGTCCTGCCTGTCTTTAAGTACATACCTAAAAATGTTATTTTCCAAAAGGCATATGTGAAGTTTCTTCTTGCTCGTATATCAGATGACAGCTGTTGTTCAAACTGCAGTGGGGATTGTTTGTCTCAAGATATACCCTGTGCTTGTGCTGGTGAAACAGGGGGTGAATTTGCCTACACATCAGGTGGTTTGCTCAAGGAGAAGTTTCTTGAGAGTTGCATCTCAATGAGTTGTGAACCCCAAAGCATGGTTTAGTATATTGTCAGGACTGTCCCCTTGAAAGGTCTAAGAATAATAGCGTGTCTGGCCTGTGCAAGGGTCATTTGGTGAGGAAATTTATCAAAGAATGCTGGCATAAATGTGGCTGCAGCAGGGGATGTGGAAATCGTGTTATTCAGCGAGGCATAGCAGTGCCATTGCAGGTTAGAAAAATTATTGCAAACCAAGAGTTTCATGTACCATAACTTTGGCTCTTTTTGAACATAAAAAATAGGAGATTGTTTCAGTACTAGTGAGAATGATGTTAGGAGTAGTCATTTAAATTATTGGTCTGGGAAAACATGTGGACTAAAACACACCTTAGGCTCTTGTGTGACATAAAAGGGGAACTTTAAAGTCAAATTATTTCTAATTATATGAATGTGACATTCTTTTTGGGACAAACTAAAAGGGAAAGTGTGCCACAAATTGGGACAGAGGGAGTAATTTATTGTGGTTGAACTATAATCTATATTGTATATATTGCTTTTTCCATCTTGGTGTGAATATAAATGATATCTGATTTATCCGAAAAGGAAAGAAAGGTTTTGTGCATGATCAATACTTCTGAAGAAACCTAGAGTAGTAAGAAATTGTTTGACACATTCTTATCCTGCATGTCAGGTGTTTATGACAGCTGATGGGAAAGGTTGGGGTCTCAGGGCACTGGAGGATTTGCCTAGAGGTGCTTTTGTTTGTGAATATGTAGGAGAAATAGTGACCAACACAGAGTTGTATGAGCGAAACACGCAAACTGCTGGTGAGAGACACACATATCCAGTTTTGCTAGATGCAGACTGGGGTTCGGAAGGTGTCCTGAAGGATGAGGAGGCACTTTGCTTGGATGCTACATACTATGGCAATATTGCAAGGTTCATTAATCATAGGTTAGGCTCTAATGTTCATCCTTTTCTCTTTGTAATTGCCTTTCTTCTCTTTCTTCTTCTCCCCTCTTACATTAACCTGGTGATATGTGGTTTGTACACTTCTTCTACAAAGTAGATAATATTCATGTCCACCAGCTGTTACCTACTAACAAACAACATGTTTCTCTTTGTTTCGATTACTTTGTTCCTCAAGTTTGGAAAGAAAACTGATAGGTAAGCATTAGATGCAACCCCATATATTGCATGTAGAGATATAATAATCAATTGATTACTTTTGTTATGGCTTTCCTTTTGGAGTACATTTGGCATGGAATAAACCCCCAGTAGAGCACCATTACAAGTCCCTTTTTTCTTCTTTGCATGATCAACAGCTCGTTCTTTGCTTTTATTGTTTCTAAGAATCACATTTACATTAAAGAAAAGTGCATTGATTCTTTTTTACTTCGCAATGTGGACTGAAACTAACCACATTGTAATTTTATCTTGACCAGATGTTATGAAGGTAACTTGATTGAGATCCCAGTTGAAGTAGAGACTCCAGATCATCACTACTACCATGTACTTGTTATCTATCTTTCTCTTAACGCTTTTTGAAGTATCTCTCTGTTATTTAGAAATCCGTGCACTATCTACATCAAGCATCTTTTTTTAATGTCACTGCAGGTCGCTTTTTACACTATGAGGAAAGTTAATGCTTTAGAAGAGTTAACTTGGGTAAAGCCCCTATCTATGTTGAACTCTATAACTTTTATTATAACTTTGTTATTTTGATATAGGAAACATGAGTTAAGTCAAAGATAAGTATATACGAAGAATCATTACAAATTTGCTACATTGCAGGATTATGGTATTGACTTCACCGATCATAGTCATCCAGTGAAAGCTTTCAAGTGCTGCTGTGGAAGTAAATCTTGTCGTGACACCGGCCTTTGAAGAGTCAGTTCAACTTTTTACCTCTCTTTCTTATACTCGCCCTGCAGTGAAATCTGCCTACTATTTTCATGCGCATATTGACCTGAGTACTTCTCTAGAGCCTTATGATATGTATTATACACACATCTCTTCCTGCCCTTTATATCTTCTCGCGACCAGAATCAATCTGCCAATTGATTAAACTATATTCCTTCCTTTACAGTTCTACCTACCAGCCTTTAGTACATTGAAATGCTTACTAGGTGCACCATTTGTTGTAGAATAGAGTAGCTTAAAGCCATTCCTGCGCGTGTTTCACTTCTAAATACTTGCTGATTGTGAACTACTTCATTCGATCTTTATATTTAATCAGATACCGTTACTTGCAGGAGCTAGGAAGTATACACTGATGAAGATTACTCCTCACTGATGATGCTGATCCCATCGATAGCTCACATAGATATGATATAGGTAAAACAAGAAACATAGTTTTGTTATTTCTGGAAAAGAACAGCTGGTGTTAACACAGATGAAGATTCCTTCTTCCTGATGATGTTGATCGCTTCGATCAAGAAGCAAATTTTTTTTTTCTTTTTAAAGAACTGCTGATGTTATGTTCTACCAGTTGATGAGATTGCATATGACTATGTTGGAAAAAACATGTTTTATTTGAGTATATTACTTCTTAAATACCTACTTGCCCTGTATACGCTGAGAAGCCCATTGGCTCGTCTTTGACTCTTACCTCTCATTTAACACTCTACTTCGTCAACTTCTCAGTCCCTCGTGAGTGTGGCACGAACCTCTAACTCTAAGCATGGAGTTGATGGTTGGTAAAAGTCTTGAATTACATTTCTTTGCTAAAATGCAATACACTCAAAGCATCAATATATTATTCTTGTGCTAAAACCTTGCATTTAGCTGGTGACTGGGACCACAAGGTCACAAATCTTTTCCATGAATCATCGTCTAGTTTGCATTGAAGGGATAGCCTTGTCTCTATGTGACAGGTTCGAGCTGTGAAATTAGTCATTGATGCTTGTGTCATGATAGAATTATCTACTTATTTTCGAGCCATATCAGATATTGATGTTTGTGTCACAGTATAAAGTTATCTCCATATCACATATAAGTCACGATTTTGAGACGTGGAATTAGTGTTTTAGAGTTGATTGCCTACCTTACACCCCTTCGAGTGTGACCCCTTCCCCTGACCTTGCGTAACCGCGGTATAGCTTTATAAATACATCTATTTTTTTATTAATGTAACAAGTTAAATTACACTAGCGACTATATATTAGTAAATCTTGTCTGTCATACTATGTAACACCAAAATTAGTCCATAAACAACTATAATTAAAAGACCATATTATGAAGCAAGTCATGAGGTAGATAATAACTTTACAATAAGTCCAAATACTTTAAACTATAGTCAAAGAAATAGTCTAGTACTTACTAATTATCGTGCAACATAAAAAAAAAAGTCAAGAACCAACTAAATACTAGAAGGTCGACCCATGACAACAAGAAAAGCCGATCTTGTGTTATACTCTGATGATCTCTTTCCTATCGAAACACCCAAACTCCCATCATTTTAAGATAGACACTAACATCAAATTCTCTCAAAACTTTGAACCAACACCTTTGCTTTCTCCATCACCTTATCCTCATTCAACACATACACACTTACAAACTTTGACTTCTCAACATCCTCAAACTCACTCTCCATTTTCTTAACCGTAGTTGTAATTTCTTCCCATCTGTCTAAGCTATCGACCTTTTTACATGAATCTTTTACATGCACTATCTTCTTCACACCATAACATTCCAATTTCCTTATATACCATTTCACATGACTTTTATATATAACCATTCTCAACTGAAACTTCTTCTGCTTACCATAATATATCCTCTTATAGTGTTCCATAACACCTTTAAACCAAATTTTTCGACTTTTTGCTACCTCAAAGTAGTAATTTTCCACTTCATCATCGATCTTGAACGCGATCCTTCGAATATTCTCAATCATATCACATAATTTTTTGTTTTCCTTTTGTTTTACTTCAGCATCTTTAAGTAAAAGCTTCATTTTCTTGAGTTCTGTTTGGAGATCTTTTACATACTTTTTTGCACCACATAAAATGGTACCTTTGTTTATTTTCATTACACCTTCAACTCTCTCAATGAGAAAAGAGACAAAAGCTTCTGCCATTAAACTTTTTTTTGGAATGAAAAACTTAGAAAAAAATTTCACAAGAATGAGAAATCAAAATAGTGTTTGGTTAATTGACATTAAGTTTCTCAAGTTTATAATCTTGAAAGTTTTACAAATTACACATGAAGTCCTTGTAGTTTGTTAAAATTACAAAAATGGTCCTTTATGTTTGGGGATAAGTTCAAAATAACCCCTTGCATATACTTCTTGAGCAATTTCGATCCTTTAAGTTTGTTAGATGTGAATATCTTTCGGAACTGTGAACTAGGAAAGTCTTGTCAAAATCTCAGAAATTACAACACAAAAAACGCCACCAAATATCCAAAGTATTTTTTGTGTTTCAGTTTACATGACATACTTTAACTTTTTAATTCGTTTAAAATGAATAACACGTTTTAAAATTTGAAAACAATTAATTTTATACTTCCATACCCTTAATGAGAAGGCTTTTTTTTTTTTGGAATGAGAAGATTTTGTAACGATACAAATATTATGACAGGTTTAATATATGAGAGAAAGTCCTTTGTCATTTGTTTTAACTATAGAAACCTCCCATTAACTTTATAAAATTACACTTTATAATCTTTTTTGTGATTTTTTTTTTCATTTCAACTTATTGTCCTTTACTTTTTTAGGTTTAAAGTGTGTGCTAACAAAAGTTTTAGTGTAAATTGGATTTATTTTCTTAAATAGTGTATTTATAAATAGTAAAAACGCGTGAAGAGGGAATAATCTTTTTTTTTTTTTTTGTTAATTTCCCACTATATCTTCTTTCAATAATGATGCCAAACTCTCGTGAATGGCTTCTCAATAAATGACAAATAATTTACTATATGTGAAAATCAACCAAATTAGGTATCATTAAATCGAGGATTCTTCGGAAACCATCTTTTTATCTTCACGAGATAGTGATAATATTTGCGTATATTATATTTTTCTCAAACGTCACTTGTGAAATTTTACTTAATAATAGGTTATTGTCATTGTTGTTAACCTAACTAGGTATTTAACGCATATGCAAGCATTCAAATTTTCCTACATATTATTAGTAAATAATAGTCTTTCTTTGTTTCTTTTATTGTTCATGAAGTTTTTGGACCACCATTTAAATACTTATTTTGAGCAAACTGAAAACTTTATGAGAAAATGTTAGATATCTGATTTAGAATTGTATAAATTATTGCAAATGTTTGACATTAGTATAGTATTTTATTTGTCAGATTGAGTAAAATATGAGTCTAATATTTTTTGGAATGATAATTTTGCAAGGTTATACTTAAATAAGTGATAAAATATAAATAATGAGGGTGGTATAATTGAACAAAATCATTTAACTTGGCTAACCTGCTAAAGTTTTAATTAGTTTGAGCCAGAGTAATTTTGATGATGAGTTGATTTGGGGTTATGCCAAATTAATCCATAAAATATCTGCATCCCAAATAAACTCATGATGCTAACCATTCGCAATCTATAAAAATTAACTTTATAATTCTTCTTCTATCTCTTATGAAATTAATTATAATCACGCAGATATGTGATATATGTGATGATTGTTTTAGATCATAAGTTTTAAAAGAAAATTTTCTTTTTTAAAGATCGTATCAAATCAAACAATGCTACATAAAATGGAACCAAAAGGTATATGTTTTAAGCTATATTAATAAACTAGTTTTTTTTTTTTTTTTGGTTTCCCATATGATGTCTGATACCCATATTGGGGCCCAATTAAATCCGGATTCGCGTCAGAAAGTCCCACGATGGGGATTAAAGCTCCCTAACAAAGACAACTTCATAATTAAGAGGACTCAAAACCGAGATATCTAATTAAAAATAAAGAAATATTTACCTCTCCGTCGCAATCCTCGTTGGTCATATTAATAAGATAATTTTACACAAATCTCATAGTGTTAAAAACTAATTACATCCTCTCCATGCTCTTTTCCAAATTACAAAAATCCTTAAATTTGGTGGAATCCAGTTACATCCCAAAACGTCATGATACAATTTGTCTTGATTTCGGATACATCCTATCCCTACTCTTTTTCAAATTACAAAAATTCTTAAATTTGATGGAATCCGGATACATCCCAGAACGTCCTGATACAATGCATCCCGGTTCCGATACATCTCGATACATCACTTTTTGATTTTAGATACATCACTCAATGTCCCGATACATTGTAAACTTATGTATTTGACTGTTACATCGCGTAAAGTGATGTATCCGAGAATAAGATAAAATAGAGATTTTTGTAATTTTTTCAAATCGTAGAAATTTTTAGAGAAAATGGTGTTTTAGAATTCATGAAACTCTTTCTTTGAGCTAATAAAGATGGTAAAAATGGTGAATTTTGTAAGTTATGTGGCCCCACCGTTATATTTAACAATTTTTGAGGGTAAATTGTTAAGTTTAGGGTAAAAAACTAAATTGAACACATTTATTTCAATCACCTAAAATATATTAAGGATCAAAACAAAGCAACCCAATATATCAAGGACTATTTTGATCATTTTCTCTATTTTTTCCTATTAATAAACTAGTTGATTGAACCACATATATCCTTAACTTTCTCTTAAAACAAAAATAAATGGGCAAATTACAGAAATCACATACTTTTAAGGCAAAATTACAATTTATCTCTTAAAAGTTTATAATTACAGAAATCTCTCAAACGGATACAATAATATAAGCGTTGATACATTAATTTGATGTGCGAGATATATTAATCGTTAAGTAAGATACATTACATTTTATACATGATACACTAATCAGATGCGCGAGATACACTAATCTGATGCGCGAGATACACTAATCTGAAGCGTAAAAATGAGGGATTTTGAAGATTTGTAAAACTTATAGGAGATAATGGTAATAAGTAAACTAAAATGTGGAATTTCTATAATTAATCCAAAATAAATTAAAGAAAATGGTCTGGCCCATCTCAAGTTGTATGTGACAAGCCCAAATAGAGTCCATAACCAAACATTCTTCAAATTAAAACCCTAAATTGCCATTTCTATAAAACCCTAGCAAAAACCCTAAATCACCATACTTTCTGCATCCAAAAATGTCAAAGCGAGGTAAGTTTACTTCATGTTGCTTTCAAATTCAGAAGATCGTTCTCAATTATCTTCGATTTTCTCTAATTTTTTTTTTTTTAAATGATGTTTAGGGCGTGGAGGGTCTGCCGGAAACAAATTCCGGATGTCACTAGGTTTACCGGTGGCGGCGACGGTGAATTGTGCTGATAACACTGGGGCGAAGAACCTTACATTATCTCAGTGAAGGGTATAAAGGGTAGGTTGAATCGGTTGCCATCTGCTTGTGTAGGTGATATGGTGATGGCTACTGTCAAGAAAGGGAAACCTGATTTGAGGAAGAAAGTGATGCCTGCTGTCATTGTTAGACAACGCAAACCTTGGCGACGAAAGGATGGTGTTTTCATGTACTTTGAAGGTAAGCTTTTTCCGCAAGCTTTTAAGGATTTGAGCTGAGTTTTTAGGTTGTTTTGTGATTTGAGCTACTTGTTATTGTTTTCTTAGCTCGTTTTTTGAATTTATATGAATTGTTTGAATCAACTACACCCAGATTTGGTATCAGTTGATTTTATATTAGTATGTAGTGAAGTATCTATATGAATGATTATAAAAATGTAATCTTTTGAGAAAATTAACATTAGTTGGTGTACACATTGAGTTTTTGCGGATATCAATCTATCAGAGTTACTCTAGGATGTTGGGATTTCCTTGCTAATATAGTTATTCATACATTTAGCTTTGTTCATTTTCCGGAATTTGAAGCAGTGAGTGGTTATTCCATGAGTTTTGCTGGTTAGGGTGTGGTGCAATTATCCAGTGATCTGTTTTTGTACTTTGGTATTCGTGCTTGTTTTTATAGAAGTGATGTACGAATGAGAGCTGGTTTGGCAGTATCATCATCCAATTTTACCTTGTGCATGTGTCAAGTCATAAGAGTGAGTAGGTCTTTTAGATTCGAGTTTTTATCTGCACTTCCATGACCAGCTATAGTCTAACCAACCTTAACCTATCTTGGTTCATAATCGAATTAGATCTCCCCAATTGAACCTCACTTTTGTGGTTTCTCTCTTTGAGCAGAGATAAATTAACTTTTGAAGCATATGATCTTAGTAACTGAATTCTTCAGTTAAAAGAAAGTTCCAATTAAGTGTATTAGGGAACAAATTTGTATCTTTTGATTGTAAGTTTTACTATCATAGGTCTTTCTTTATCTTGATTTTGTTGATAGTAGGTATCAAAGGTAGGAGATCTGCTTGTGCAGTTGTTTCTGATGGATTGAGAAACATGTGTTTGTATTTATTTATTTTTGAAAATCAGACTTAGTCAGGTGTTAACATTTCTTATCGTGGTTAATACAGTTACTAGTCTGGGAAATTAATGTTGTCTATCGTTACAGATGTGCTTATACTATTCAAGCACTTTCTGCTCCATATGGGCCCAACATGAAGTAATCTATTTTCTTCCATTCTGGACACATATATGCAGGATATGTTGACTTGGCCTCTATTGTTTTCTTAGTTGTTTAGTTTTATATCTTTTGAAATAAATTATATGATGTCCTTACAAAAACTGATTTCAAAATTATCTTGCTATTTTGATGTCTAACTTTTACATATCCATGCATTAGTCAAGTAACAACCTTCTTATACCGTGGTTGATACAGTTACATGCCTGGAAAATGTATGTGTCCATCGTTACAGATGTGTTAATTCCTATTATGCTCATATCTGCTCCATTTGGACTCTACATATGTTTTCAATTTGTAGCATTGTTAAGTATACACAGTGTCTTTACTTGAAATTGAGTTTAACGTTATCTTCTTGTTGTGTAGAACTTTAAACATGTTCAGACATTAGTCAGGTTACAACCTTATTATACTGTGGTTGATACAGTTACATGGCTGGAAAATAGATGTGTCCATCGTTACAGATGTGTTGATTCTTTTTAAGCTCACATCTGCTCCATTTGGACTCTACATATGTACTCCTCGAGTTGTAGCATGTTAAGCATGTATCCGCTAGTAATATATTTTACATACTTGGAAGTTTGCTAGTTGGGTGGAGTGTGTATTAGTAGTCATGCTTTCTACTTCTCAAGCACAAAAAATGTTACTTTCGCTGTGCTTATATCACGTCTTGTATGCTTCTTCAGATAATGCTGGTGTGATTGTGAATCCCAAAGGAGAAATGAAAGGTGAGATCATATGCTTAACCTCCATCAAGTATATCTATCTAAACTATATATGCCTGATTAATACTTCGAAAACGACATCTTCTACTTAGTTTTTGTTGTATCATTGACATTGCATAGTTGCACGGATTATTTCTTTGTTTAGCCATATATCAAGAATTTAAACCGTTCACAATTTTCTTGATGTACGTGTATTGTTCATGAGCTCCTTTTGGCCGTTGTTAGGTTCTGCTATCACTGGTCCAATTGGAAAGGAGTGTGCTGATCTATGGCCAAGGATTGCTAGTGCAGCTAATGCAATTGTCTGAACTACTAAGAGATTTTGATAACTTTTATTTGGAAGTGCTGTTATTGTCACATATACAAACAAATGCAGCAATGTTGTATTGCTCTGAGATTTAAAAGTTCATATAATACCCACTTATTTGCTACTAAATATCACGTCATTTACTTTTCGTCTCGTTTTTGATTTATAGCTTCGTAATTATTGAAAGACTTGTCCAAATAAAATAGTCTCGTTCCCCTCGAATAGTCGAGGAAACATGGTTGAGTTTGAGTTTTTGGTTTGAATTACCTTTGTTAGGGGAGTGCTTTAACTCGTAATAGAGGACTTTCTAACATGAATTTTGATTTAGTCGGGTTTTAAAACGGTTATTATACACCATATTAGGAATCGAGGAGAAGAGCAAAATGAAATATATTAAGAGTTATAAATATTGTGTTCATTATATCTAAGTCGTTTGCTGATTTGAAACCAAATTAGACCAAGTCACACATCTCATTGTTACCTAATGAACCAAATATCTACCCCATAAAATTATGTCTATTAAATAATTTTGTTATTTTTTCCATTTTAATATTATAATTATGAGATTACTTGTTTCCAATTTAAAAACTTCAATTATTTTGAAATTGATTCGACTGGTAAAAACGATTAATATTTGAGATTGAATAAATTATCTATGAAGTACCTATCTGCTTAGCAAAAACAGATAGATCAATTATATTCGTTATTGTTTATGTCATATAGTAGTATATATTTCTTGATTGGGTTATGAATCGGTTTACAAATTTTGGGCAATAGTGGAATAGTTGAGATTCTTTCTTTCTTAGTTAAAGTTTTCAAATTTGAGTTCTGAATACAAAAATAAAATCCTATTAAAAGCACCTCCGGGATTAGCTAAATTCTAATATAAATATCAAATATCGGGTGGAAAAATAATAATTATGAAACGGCATGACACAGCTGTAAGTTGACAAATGTGTGTTGACCAAAAAAAGAAAAAAAAAGTACAGATGTGTAAAGAGACGTGCTACCGACTTGCTGATTAATTCCAAATAATAATTTGTTAAATTTCTGGTTTATGTTTTTAACAAGGGAAAAGGGTCAAATATGCTCCTAAACTATTCGAAAAGATCTAGATATATCCCTCTTTTAAAGTTTAGCTCACTCGTGTCCTCGCTGTTCAACTTTTCGTCTAGATATGCCCTTATGGGCGTTAAACGCCCCACGTCATTTTTACATTATCACGTGGCATTGGAAAAGGGTCAAATATACCCCTAAACAATTCGAAAAGGTCAAGATATACCCCCTTTTAAATAAACTACTCGACCCGTTTTCAACAATTTTTTAAAATTTTTTATTTTTTTTCGGTAAATCCTGAAAATGAGTAACTGACTAATAAAAAAAATAGGAAAAATATGAAAAAAATATATAAAATTAACGCCAAAAATTCGCAAATAAATATAGTAACCTTAAATTCAACAATTTCAATAATTTTTTAAAATTTTTATTTTTTTTCGATAAATCCCGAAAATGAGTAATTGATTAATAAAAAATCTGAAAATGACTTTATGCTGCATTTTTTAGGTTATATTTTTCATATTTTTTATTAATCAATTACTTATTTTCGTGATTTATCGAAAAAAATAAAAATTTAAAAAAATTGTTGAATTTAAGGTTACTATATTTATTTGCGAATTTTTGGCGTTAATTTTATATATTTTTTTTCATATTTTTCCTATTTTTTTTATTAGTCAATTACTCATTTTCGGGATTTACCGAAAAAAAAATTAAAAATTTTAAAAAAATTATTGAAAACGGGTCGGGTAGTTTATTTAAAAGGGGGGGGGGGGGTGTATATCTAGACCTTTTCGAATAGTTTAGGGGTATATTTGACCCTTTTCCAATGCCACGTGGTAATGTAAAAATGACGTGGCAATTCCATTTGGCGTTTAACGCCCATAAGGGCATATCTAGACGAAAAGTTGGATGGCGAGGGCACAAGTGAGCCAAACTTTAAACGGGGGTATATCTAGACCTTTTCGAATAGTTTAGGGGCATATTTGACCCTTTTCCCTTTTAATAATAATTAATCTGTTGACATTTGCCTCTTGTAGGTATAAAAAAGCTTGCAAATCATAAATCTTTGTTTTTGTTAATTGGAAATCATAAATCTAAGTCTAATGAGCCTCCAATGGAACTCTGCCACATATCTCATCAAAGAGTGATGACAAAGAATTATTGACCTATTCTACTTCAATAATTTACTTATTATTAGCTAAATATAAAATATTTTTAATTAAAGTAATTTGTTTATGTAAAATTTAAGTCTTGACAAAACTTAAATCAACTTTTTCCCTAATATAAAGTGTTGGGACTATAAAAAATTGAGACCTCTTATCCTTAATCAAAAAATCTGAATTCAAACTTTAGAAATAACATCATTATTAGTAAGGAACATTTTAATCTTGTTGAGTTATCACGTCATTGGTAATGAGTTATTTGATCTCCATACAAAATTTTGGACAATCCTTACCTCATGACTTAATATCTAAGTTGAGATTGACCCAGTTTTATACCCCATGATATGCCTCCATTTCATATTGTTCACACTTCAGATATCCGATCTTTATGGAGGGGAGAGGGGAGGGTTGAGTTTTCACATCGATGGTGGATGACGAGTTATTTGGTCTACTTATATGTTGTTAAAGTCAAACAATTCACATATTATAAATTAGTTACGTCTAAAATATTTTAACAAAAATTTAAATTAATTAAATTTCAAAATAAATATCGAACCTCAAACGAGAACAAAAATATAATGATGGGAGAGTGCCCCCCAAAAAAAAAGTGTGGACATGGAATATGTTTCTAACATAAATATGTCAAGGAATATAGTAATTATGTAGAGAAAAAAGGATTTGGTTGGGGATTTAAATGAGATTAGGTTTAATTCCATGTGAGATAGTTGTATGTTGATATGCCAATTAGGTTCCACTCTCTAGTGGCACCCACATGACAATTATTATTTCTAATAATTATCAATTTCTAATTAGTTTGAAATTTTTGTTGTTATTTAATTCTTTTTAAAAAAATCAATATTATTTCTTCGCACAACTCAACGTATATTTGTCACAGATTCATAATATAATACTTCTCTTTTGAGCCAAGATTTTTTTGTAAACAATCTTTCTATCTTATAAAAATAAGATAAGATCTGCGTACCTTCTATATTTTTCAAACTTCACTTGGAATTATAATGAACATATAGTTGTTCTTGGACAATCACATGGAATAGGCTAGTGTGAACAAAAATACTTTTCATGATCTAAGTTGTGATTAACTAAAAACCAAAATATATAAAAATATAAAATTTTACGAAGTATAGAATAAAGTTTCATGACACCATTGATTGACATAATTTAATCAACCTACCACCATATAGATCATGTTTTATTAAGGACAAAAAACAATATACATGGTGCCAACTAATTCCCATCACCCATGTGACCCCTTCCATTTTCAAAATTTATCACTAGTCCCCCCTTACAGTAAGTAGCTCCATAAAAATCAACTAAAACTCAAACTTTCTCAAATCTCAAAAAAATGGCAAAAAAATTTGGAATTTTCTTTACACTTTTTTGTATTCTTTCAACTTCATGTCTTGGAGACTGGAACATTTTGTCACAACACAAAACCAATAGTGGCCTCAAAATTAGCCTCAAGAATTATTGTGAGAGTTGGAGAATGAATGTTGAGTTACACAACATTAGAGATTATGTTGTTGTCCCTCAAGAATGTGTTGCATATATTGGAAAATATATGACTTCTACTCAATATAAAGTTGATTCTGAAAGAACTATTAATGAATGTATACTTTATCTTAGTACTAATTGTATTTTGGAAAATGATGGGAAAGATGCTTGGATTTTTGATATTGATGATACTCTTCTTTCCTCTGTTCCTTACTACAAGAAAAATGGTTTTGGGTAAGTTTTGTTTCTCATTTTTTCTTTTTAGGGTAATAGTTTTACGTTTTGTACACTGACAATGTATATTCAGATCGACTTCTTATACTATATGTTGAGTTTTTTCTTATATCGGTTGTGAGATAGAGATTTAAAATTTTATATGATCTTGAACGATCCTAGTCACCTTATGGATTAACTTTTGAAGTTGAGAATTTTGGATTTCTCTTTACTAGTAAGATGTAAAGATCATAAGCTTTTAGTCATCTATATAGCTACATACTCTTTTTGCAAAAAGATTCATTTCTTATCATGATATCAGAGCTAGACTTATCCAATTTCTAGTTTACCTGATGTTGAGTTTGATATTATGTTGTCCACTATCAAGTTGGCAGACCATGTCGAGTCTAGGGTGGGGGAATGTTGAGTTTGTCCCACGTTGATTGTGGGATCGATGAGTATTTGATCTATTAAATAATCTCCACATCATGAGCTAGCTTTTAGGATTGAGTTAGGCTCGATGTTCATTGATTGTTGCTAATGTTTTTTTTTGTTGGTGGAATAGGGGAAATAAGCTAAATGTGACATCTTTGGAGGATTGGATGAGCCAAGGGAAAGGAACAGCAGTGGAACATTCTTTGAAGTTGTTCAATCATCTTAAAGGACTAGGAGTTAAAATCTTTCTTGTTTCTTCAAGAAGAGAACATCTTAGATCCGCCACTGTCGATAATCTTGTCAAAGTTGATTTCTATGGATGGAATAGCCTCATACTAAGGTTTGAATATATTTTTTTAAAATCAATTTATTTGGTTTATGTTTATACATTATTCTAAAATTGGTACTTATATTTTGGTTGAATATTTTAGAGATCAAGAAGATGAATGCAAAAATGCTCAAACATTTAAGGCAGAGATAAGAAGTAAACTTATAAGCCAAGGTTATAGAATTGTTGGCATTATTGGAGACCAATGGAGCAGCATTGAAGGTCTTCCAAGTGCAAAAAGATCATTCAAACTTCCAAATCCAATGTACTATGTTGCTTGATTATGGACTTGTGAATTTGTCAAGTTTTTGTGAGGGAAAAAAACACATGATTTCTTGGATGTTATATGTTGTTGTTTTTTGTGATGTGAATTATTGTTGGAAATAATTTTGTGAAGAACCTTTGATGATTTGATTGATTTCACACTA